AGCAATGCACGAACATATCAGATTCCATGTGATTATGAAGACATGGCAGTATCTCTCAATTTTATAGGAAAAGTCTTTTGGACTCATTTTCTTCCGAACTCTCATGTAAAAGTAAAAGGTGAGTAGAAATGTATACATAGGTAAAGCTGTACCTCCTGCTGTCAATATGAAACCTGTTGCTTCGCATGTTGACACATTTCCTCGAGCCCAAAAGTTTTCGGGTGTGTCTTTTGGTGCCGCTAATGGAGATAAAATGAAACCTAGTGACTGCAAAATATCGCTAATAGTAAGACCAAAAATAATCCTTTTATAAGGAGATCCCAAGGCATTTTTTGAGTTGGTGATCATGAATGCCATGATTGAGGAACATAAGAACGATGTAGAAGATGTCACCGTTCGTATAACTTGAGAAGTGAAAAATTGATTTGGCATTGTCCTGTAGTTATTGGTGCAAGTTTGAAAACCTTCAGCAATTCTTATTGGAGGTCCGATGGAGATAGTGCAAATAGTTTATTGTCTTCTTTTGTTGGATATTTGAGTAGTGGTGTGATAGGCTTATTCAAATTTGGTTGTGATAGGGGTTGTGATGTTGTGATAAAGGTACCACTCGCTCTCTTAGCAACAAAGCGTTCTAGCTACTTTCACTTAGCGTTCTCGCCTGAACTTAGCGTTCGAAGATTTTAATGAGATTTCAACACAGGAAAGAGACTTAGGTTATGCGTCCAACTCACCCTCTCACGAACCCTCTCATCACATCGGACCCCCTCACGCCAGACCACCTCTTCTCGCCTCTCTTCTTTTCCTGTAAACTTTTCCTTTGTCTTTAAGAAGACTAAAAAGGGCTATTTTCGTTGTTAAATAAAATTGAAAAATTAAATATGCAGCATTAATGATGATGGATTTTATGCAGCAAAACTAAAGGGTGAAAAATAAATTGAGTTGAGACTAATACCGCAATGTTGGCATTGTTTGCTCAATATTTTTTGTGGCACAGATTTCTCGGGAACAAAATGGAATCTGGCTACGTTAGACATACCTGTACACAGCACTCATTCTGCTCTGTGTACAGGTATATGTGAATAGACCTAAAACACTTTTTTTTGGAGTGTTTTCCGTGCCACAAATAATTAGGCAAAAAGGGCTTAAGTAAACAAAATGTCCTCAAGAAGCAAACGACGCTTTTTGATTGGACAATAAATGGGATTGAGCATATATTTCCTTGAACATCTCAGGGGCTTAAGTAAATTGCTTTCAGAACATCTTGTTTTAGATAGAAATAGATAGAATATTTGCATGCGCCACGCTGTGACGATTCCATCGATGTGTTCAACGGAAAAAATGGATGGTGGGAAGTGTATACTAAGTATATATTCTACATGTAATTACGTACTGCGGTATTGTTATTGGTGTCATCATTCCAACATCATTTCTACCTCAATGTTCTATTTCTATACAATACCAAAAGCAAGCTATTGGGTGATAGCTTCTAAAGTCGAAGAATCATCTTCATCAAGAGATTATACAGAAAAAGATTCAGCATATTTCCTCTGCGAGAAATCAATTCAACGAGGGTGTAGGTGACGATGGTATAACTAAGTACAAATCGCTCTTATGACCTCGACGAATATTAACAATGTACAGATTTAGACAAATAAATCGACTCTACTTTTACTTCTTCTACTCATAAGAGTTGTTTGGTCAAGTGCAATACATAAAACAGCACAAAGGCGAGGACATTTAGAAATCATGGATACCAGGGTTTTTGAAACTCTGCAAGTCTTTCGTTGTAAATCTTCTTTCTTCGTCTAATCGCCTTTTGAGCACGATCAGCTGGCATGTGGCTATTTTTCCCATAGAAATGCTTCAATTCCTGTTTAATGGCTTTGTTCGGCTTCTTATCTTCGTTTTCTTTGCTTTGAAAAACTGCAGCTGTTGCCACTAATCTCTCAATTTGAGATTTCTCATCCATTGGATACACTGATACAGGTTGCCTAGAATGAGAATAATTCTCATCCTTGATTATACCTTTGATGTGTTTTTTCATCTCCACATTTGTAATCTTGGGATTTTCTAGTTGCTTGAGTCTCGCTTCATAATCAACTTGTCTTTTTAGCCGATATTTTTCTTTAGTAGAAAGTTTCCTATTCATTTCTGTTCTAATACCGAGAACTGGTGCCATTGTTACTGTTTTTTCAGTCTCGTTGGGATATAGCCATTTTCTAGTCTTTTGTCTATTCGAATGAAGATCCAAGAATGTTAATTAACAGACGAGTCAAAGGAAAAGATTCAAATTATTATTTTACCTGTCGTCCATTTTTTCTATTTCAAGATAGAGTGCCCACTTCATCAAGCCTCTAATCTCTTCTGTAGAGGTTCCAAGTCCCTTCAATCTCTCAAACACAGGAAGATAGATGTCATTCAATTTTCCTTTCAATGTTGCTTTCATCAATTCGAATTTCTGCTCCTCTCGAGTACGGAGTTCATCTGTGAGCTCCACGTCTTTGTAATCTTTTGAATAGTTGATTAGTTCAAGATTACATGTGATCGTCTCACTTCCGATTTTGAGGGAAGTGTGCACTTTTCGGAGGTTAGGGATACTCATGTTGAAAAATTGTTTGTGTCTATTCAAAGAAGTGATTGATTTGAAAAAAATAGATTCCGGAAGCTTTCCAAAAAAATGCGTTTTGGAACAACAGTTATTTTTTGGTTAAATTTGAATTTCAAAAACTCCCGCAAAAAACACAAGCACGATAGCCTTCATTTCAGTTTCGAACCAAATCTCCACTAGTTTGTTTCCATTAATGGATTCCAAGCCACCATATCCAAGATTGTCTACATCCTTAAGGTTGAAGCATTTAGAGAAAGAAAGACTTCGAAAACTTTCGGAAGCTCCTTCCGCAGCCGACACTGAAATGCAACCTTCCAAAGCTGACAAAGCAATGGTGACTTCTGAATCCGACTCGGATGATGAATTATTTGGTTACGATCCAAATTTTGAGATAAACGCTTCTGCAAAGAGACAACGGATTGCTACTTCCTCAAAGCAACCTAGCGAAACTTCCGACTCGGATGACGAGGTACTTGATTTTGATCCAAACTTTGCAACTTCTGCAAAAAAGACATCTTCTCCAAAGACACAGCTTGAAACTAGTACTACCACAGCTACCTCTACTGTAACTGAAAGTTTCGATTCCAAGCAACCGTCCACTACTGATACTGAAACGCAGCAGCATTCCGAACATGATAATGAACTTGATGAAAACGAGTCTTCAATCGATGCCAACGATAGTTCAGACGATGAAAACGAGTCTTCAAGCGATGAAAACGATAGTTCAGATGATGAAAACGAGGAAGGGTCACCAGTGAAGCAGATCAATCCACCCGCAATGGAAATGATTGCTGAGGTCTTTGTTGACATACTTTTGGAATTTATTGACAAACACAATGCCAAGCTCGGCATTATTTCATCTGAATTCCCAAAAGAAAGACTCCGTTCCATTCTGATGGGTACAGAAAGATCTTTCGAGGATATGCCTTCAATGTTTGACATCATCCTTTTAGTGTTACATCTTGTGAGCAGTGTGTGTGGCGATATGGAAGATGGTGGTCGAGATATGGATGCTTTTGCATCTAATGAAGAATTTCAAAACGACTTTCTTGATGATGTATTCGCCTTCTTGTAAGTATTCCATCTCAAGTTGATTGCATCGGGTAATATTGATATCTTATATCTTTTCTCGTCCGTAAATATAGGGAACCATTTTCTGGACTTTTCTCCAACAAACGATTGAACAATCATCATGGCATGAAAACTCACCGATTTGCCGCAAGTACGCTCTTGGAATTCTTGTACGGGCGTATTGACATGACTGAAGATGAAATCAAACTTTACTGTGCTCTGGTTTTGGGTGGTTTTTTGGATGGTGATGGCTCAACATTCTTCGGAGCATTGAGATCCTCTCGGTGGATAGATGGAGAGACGAAGCAGAATGCAAAGAAAAATATTGTGAACTACCATTGTGCAGGAAAAGATGCTACTCTGGAGGAGATAGTGAAATACCTTCTCGAACATCCAACAAGTTCCTCTTCTCTATTTTCTCGAATTCATCAAGTGGTGCAATTGATATAAGTCCAATAACTCCACTGAAACTCCCAGTAACAAGGGCCACAGTCTTTGCTGTTGTACCAACTTGAGGGACAGATGCAAATCCCATCATTCTCTTTTGCACTAATGTCTTGGCGAAGCCTCTAGATGCGAACAAGTCAGGTTGAAATCGGTTTGTTTGTTTTTTCTCATCGAAACTAAAAGTAAATGATAGTACATAGTAGGTTCACCCTATTTTGTAAGAAGTAAAGAGGTACAGCACTGTGTTATAGAATGCCTGTACAATAGAAGAATGGTCCTAGGTAGAGTGTCTACTTTACTGCAGACAGTCTGACCTTCTATCCGTCAATCATGTCAAGTAGGTAGTTACTAATTGTGAGAACGAACGAATCATCTTCACCCATTCAGAGTCAACAGTTAGTAGTGCGACGCGAACAATAGAACGGAGCGAATCATTTCACCCCGTTGGGGTCATCTGTTAGTAGTGTGACACGAACGAACGCACGCACGCACGAACGGAAAAATAAACGGGGTAAGGAATCGGTTCCCTGACAAACCGATAATAATACTTTGCTTATGTTTCTCATCTTCAGCATAGGTCTTTGTTTAGTTTCAAACTGACTGTGACTTGCAAATTGAATATAAAAGAAATAATCTGTAAAGATTGACTGCTTCAGTCTTCACGATGTGATTCTGAGTAGCATATGAAATTATCTTGTATGTGCGGTCTCGTCTCTAAGGTACGTGTAGTCAATAAACATGAATATCTTTTGCATTTTCATAGATGTTGATGAGTGGTTCGCAAGTCTGCAGCTGTTGTGACAACATCCTGTCAAGGAAGAAAAATAGGTGTGATATAAATTATAATTGGCAATACACAGATACTCTGCAAGAAGCACGGGTGGTCTAGTTGGTTATGACGACTGGTTTACATTTGGTCTTGCACCTACTAAATACCCAGTAGGTCGGGAGTTCGATTCTCTCCCTGTGTATTTCTTTTTGCGATGCACAATGCACAACAAAGCAGGTGAAGAGTCTGTGATTGGTGCAGAGTGTATGCACCTTTTTCTCTTTTCGATATGCTTGTTAAACAGTGAAAAGAAGAGATGGACGATGAATAAATCTTCTGCTTCTTAAGATGATGGTACCTAAATGGTACTTATGATTGCTTATTACTTCTACATAGATTTTTGAGGTGATGTTTGATTCCAGCTTTGAGGGCCTTAGGGGTACTTCTTGAATGTTCCTCTCGTTCTTTTTTGTGTGCTCAAATATGATGCAATACAAGTTTTATTTATAAAAACTAGAAAACTTTAAAAAAAGCATTTTTTTATAATTTTAAACTTTACAAACTAAGATCAGAGTAGCTCTAGATCAGCTCACAAGCATACCTAACGACTAGCTTAGTTGTAGTGGATACGACAAGACATCGTCATTGTACGTAAAAGAAAAGTGGAATTTTCTTCAATCTATTTTTGGGGTTAGCGATTACCCCCTAACACAACAGACAACAACTACACGCCACAACTGTACACACAGCATAAGCTCAACAGTCAAGAGCAACAACATCATACATAATAGAACCTATCGAAGAACATAGTAATTGTTGCAACACGACTACTATATCAAGCTTTGTTGCTAAAAAGTAGCTTATATTTCTATTCAACATGACTTCTCTATTCCTTCCTGCACCAGTACGTTCAAAGGGAAACCAAAGACCTGGTGGCAAAAGCACTTCATCATCAGCAGCAACATCGAACAATCAATTGGCAATTCACAACTCTTCTCAATCTTCCAACTCCAAAGCTGATAAGACATCGATACCACAAAGAGCACCGTCATACGAACAGAGATGTAATGCAGCTGCAGAATTTTCTAAATTGACGCCTGCTGAGAGAAAAGCACGTAAGCAGAAACTCTTTGTCCCACGATCAATTGCAGACTTTGACGATGGAGGGGCTTTCCCAGAAATTCATGTTGCTCAATATCCAAAGAACATGGGAAATCCTCATTTGCAAAAAAGAAATTTCGGATCAGATGAGAAACCAAAATTAGATAAGAATGGAAAGCCTATTAAATATGGTCAAAGTAAACCTGGTAATCAGCTTGTGGTTGGATCATCAGTCTCAACTACTCAAGCTATTGCCAATGTACAAATTGATGCACAAGGGAATAAGGACTATACTGCACTGATTAAAGGAGGGACTAATTCGGACAAAAAAGTATATGCACATCACAGAGATCTCAAAGGATACACACCAACTGAAGAAGAAATCGCACTTCCCTCGCAAACAGACGAACAAGATACAGCTGCAAAAACTCAAGCGGCAATCGATGCACTCCTATCCAACAAAATTGCAATGAGCAAACCTTCTGGTACTGCATTGGAAAATGCAGCTACTTCCAAAAATCAAGAAGAGAAAACCCAATTTATTGAATATACGGCTAACCCTAATGCACCGGGATACAACCCTGCAGCTGCAAAACGTGTCATTCAAATGGTACCTGCACAAATTGATCCGATGATGCCTCCGAAACACAAACATCTCAAGGCTCCAGCTGGACCAGCTGAAGACTTTGTTCCAATATTGCATGCTCCACCAGAGAAATTAACAAAGGAGGAGAAGGCAGCATGGAATATTCCAGCTTGCATTTCAAATTGGAAGAATACCAAGGGTTATATGATTCCCTTGGATAAACGTTTAGCAGCTGATGGAAGAGGTTTGAGAGATGAACAGACAATTAACTCCAACTTTGCAACCCTATCAGAGAGTTTGTACTTGGCAGAACGTCAGGCGCGAGAAGAGGTGCGATTGAGAAGTCTAGTGCAACAGAGGCAGGCTGAAAATGAGAGAGAGAAGCGTGAAAAAGATTTGAGAGAATTGGCCATGAAGGCAAGAATGGATCGAAGTGGAGTTGCCTCTGCACCGAGAGCTGCAGATGAAAGTGATTACTATGGTCCTAGATCAGGTGAAGAACAAACGGCACCAGATGAAGACAGCGTCATTCCAAGTAAGCCTCCTGCTAGAGAAGACGGGGACTCTAGTAATGACATTAATGTGATCGATGACGAGGAAGCTCGAATTGAAGCTGAAAGACGCGATCGCATTCGTCAAACTAGAAAGAAAGAACGAGAGCGCGAATTTAGAATGGAAAAACACAGACCAGGCAGAGATGATGATGAAGAGGTCGCTATCAAAAAGGCTAGACTGGGGGATCGTGACGTTTCTGAAAAGATTGCATTGGGTGTGCATACAGGAGGGGGTGCAATGGGAGGTGTTGACGGACGCTTATATAATCAGAATGCCGGAATGGACTCTGGATTTGGGGCTGATGATGAGTACAATACTTATTCCAAGCCAATGTTTAACAGAGAGGGAGTAACTTCATCTTCGATTTATAGACCAACTCGTGGAGAAGGAGCTATGGATGCTGATGAACAATATGCGAAATTAAAAGCAGGTGCAACATCTAGATTTCAACCCGATAAAGGCTTCAGTGGAGCAGAGGGAGGGGGATCGTCAGGAGGAGCCAGAAATGCACCAGTACAATTCGAGAAGGGTGAATCAAAGTAATTATATCTTGGAGTTTTTAAACAATATTTACTTAATAAAGTGTTCCCTCTACATTTAATGTAATCTCCTTATTCTTATTCAACATTTAACTTCATTTCTGCCAAAGTTGATACCAAGATTTCTTACATGTAACCTTCGATATGACAAGAGCACTTGATTATTTTTTAGCAGTTCACAGCAATTGCATTCTTCTTGACAAAAGGTCTCACCACAGCTTTACTAGGATATATTCTTTTAAAATGGAAAGAAAGAATGCCATCGAAGGCCATGAACAAATGTGCATTTCACAATAAATGATCTTTATCAACTGTTTACTAATTTATACTAACGGAAATGTTTCTGCAAAGAAACCCTAAATAGAATGGAATCCCTCCATTTGCATGGAAGCCAATGAAGAATATTGAAGAATCGATTTTCCATATTTCTAGATAGAATGCGTGCTGGAGCTTTCGGAGTCATTAGAGCATACATGAGATCTCTTACAACAATGTCTGGATCTTCGAATTTTGTCTCCAATGAGTTCCTCTGCTTTTGAATCTCCACTTTCATATCTTCTTTTGACCTGGGACCATACCCATCAGTATATTCGTTTTCCCGTTCCCAATATATCGATACATGTTTTTGAGCCATGGGCGTCCTCATTGCAGAAGGCTCCATAATAATTACCTGAACCCCGAATGGTCTCATTTCTATCCGAAGGCAATCTGAATATCCTTCCAACGCGCACTTACTTGCACTGTATGCTACCGTGGTTGGTATAGGGACTAAACCGGCGACTGATGAAACGTTTATGATACGGCCCTTTGCCTTCTTCAGCTGAGGAGGCAACAATTCATAAATCAAATAAACTGGTGTAAGGAAATTCAATTGCATAGTAGTATTGTACACTTCTGGTTTTGTCCATGCTATGCATCCTGGAATTTCCATACCAGCGTTATTAACAAGTGCGTACAACCCTTCGTTAGTCTCCCCACATATTTCAATGACTTTTTCAACCAGTTTCTTTCTATCTTCGTCTTTTTTGAGATAAGTCTCCCACCACAATAGTAATAGTCCCACGTCGTACTTGGGAAGGAGCAGTGGTACTATTGGAAGAAAGGAAATCCAGTTTCTCAGCACAGGATTCGCTAAAGCAAGCTGCAATAACGTCAAAGCCATTCTGTAGGCATTCAAATGCTAGAGCCGAACCAAAACCTGAATCACAACCAGTGATACAAACTATTTGCCTTTGCTGCTGCTTTTACCCGCTTCTAGAATGTCGAGCAAATGGAATATTTTCTAGTATTCTCTTTCCATATGACATATGAAATGATCAAACCCATTTTGATGTCCATCAAGTCCTACTGACCATTACTATCAAAGCTGGCAGCAGCTATTTATCACGTTCAACAATACAAAAGCACAAGATTGGGAAGTAAAGAAGGATTAATCCATGTCTTCAGTTTGCAGATGGTAGGAAGAGGAAAACGTTCATCATCTATCTGTACAAGTAAGCGTTGTGTGTTGCGTTGACATTATTTTTATGTATGAAGCATTGAAAGAACTAAAATTGATTTCAAACTCCAAATTTCACTGTTCGAATTTAAAAATCAAAAGACCTAACGTTCTTTTGGAGGGTCCGACTTGACCGACCCTCCAATTTCCGGGTCCATACCTACCACACTGACACCTGGACCCTGGACCTGCTCGCATCTCACATCTCTACACGCACGAAAAACGTTGACCAGTGGAAAAACTTTGACCACTTTTCCCTTTTCACTCCTGGGAAAGCAAGCACACTACCAACGGACATAGCCAAAATACAATGAAGAATGAAAAAAAAATATTCCAGAAATAAAAAACCAATAGCACAACCATCTTCAACACGCACAAATACACATGTTTTGTATTGGAACATTAGCGATTTTTTCATTTTTTGCCAATTTTTGAAAACTCAACCCTCTGGTATGGTTTGTACGGTGGATGCCACGTAGAGGTTGTTGTCACAAGTGAAAAAATATTGTAGAAATAGCAAAACCATTGCATAACCATCTTCCATGTGTATAAATATACATCTTTTGTATTGGAACTATATTGATTTTTTTATTTCTTCATTATTTTTTAATACTCAACTCTCTGGTATGGTTTGTACGGTAGATGGACACCAGATTCACGTAGAAATGTCGGCATCCATCATGTCGGTAACTCATCGAAAACATAAAAAATCAATACAGTTCCACAACAAAAGATATACATTTAAACACATAGAAGATGCTTATGCTGTGGCTTTATTATTTTTACAATATTATTTTTTCAATTGTACATGTATTTTTACCATGTCCGTTAGTAGTGTCATCACTTTTTGTGTAGACCAGAGCTTTGACCGGTCAACGTTTTTCGTGTGTGTAGATCTGTGCACTTTTGAAAAATTCAATACC